GGAGTCAATTAAGAAGTATAATACAAAGCTGTGAATAAACTCCTAACATCGAAAACAATTTGACCTTTTATTTACACAAGTGTGCAAACTTAACCTTTCGTTTCCCCTGTCATTTTCAGACTCTTACGCTTTAATACAACAGTAATGTAACTTTAATTTTTTTTTTTTAGATGCAACAAAACGTATCAAAGTGGACCAGCCAGTCGTGGAAATGGATGGTGATGAGATGACTCGCATCATATGGGAGTTCATTAAAGAGAAGGTAAATCAAACACTAGGTGACACTTGACGTGTCAAGGAATCAAAATGTTTCCTCGTAACTCTGCATGTATGCATTTTTGTGGTTTCTGTGCCAAATTATCCTCAGGCAATTTACACATTGACATCTTGCACAGCTCATCCTGCCCAATGTGGATGTTGAGCTGAAGTATTTCGACCTGGGTCTGCCCTACAGAGACCAGACGAATGACCAGGTCACCATAGATTCTGCTCTGGCGACTATGAAATACAACGTGGCTGTCAAATGTGCCACCATCACCCCTGATGAGGCCAGAGTTGAGGGTAAGTTAGACTCAGACTTGTTTTAACTTTGTACAGATTCATTAGAATTAGAGGTATTTGAGTGCATTTTAATTCTATTATATTTACACAAATTAATACCTTCTTGTGCTTATTATATGTGTTTATTATATTTTCTCCTCAGAGTTTAAACTAAAGAAGATGTGGAAGAGTCCCAACGGGACCATCCGGAACATCTTAGGCGGCACAGTTTTCCGTGAGCCAATCCTTTGCAAAAACATTCCCCGTCTTGTTCCTGGATGGACACAACCCATAACAATTGGCAGGCATGCTTTTGGAGATCAGGTAAAGAAAAAACAACAAGACAAATGTGCATCTTCTCTTTCTGTCCAGACTTAAAGCAGTGCAGACTCACATACCAGTGTCTGACTGTCTCACAGTACAGGGCCACAGACTTTGTCATTAACCAGCCTGGCAAGTTTAAGATTGTTTTTACCCCAGCTGATGGAAGCACAAAGCAGGAGTGGGAGGTGTATGACTTCCCAGCAGGAGGTTGTGGGATGGGGATGTACAACACTGATGAGGTAATGGTAACTTTCTTTATAGGTTTGGTTACATGAGAAAGATGAGATACTTTGGGGTACTCTCCTTGTTTTTAATTTAATGTTCTATGATGCTATTGATCAAGCAAGTGCTATGTTTTCTTTGCTCAGTCCATCAGTGGATTTGCTCACAGCTGCTTCCAGTATGCCATCCAGAAGAAGTGGCCCCTGTACATGAGCACCAAGAACACGATCCTCAAGGCCTACGATGGCCGCTTTAAAGACATCTTCCAGGACATCTTTGAGAAGTAAGATGTACATTAAAAAGAGAGCAGAGCAGAGGTATCTGAGAAAGCTACACCTGCTTTGGAGGTTCTTAATTTCATTGAAACCCCCATGTTTCAGCTTGTGCCATTCATCAGATTCATCATGGCCATAAGCTGAAATGTGCAGTACATGTCGCTGGGGTAACCAGCTGGGGTAAGACACACAGCAGTAGAGTATTAGACCTGGTGCTGTTTCTGGTGCTAGAGGAAAACATTCTTCACTGAGCCATAAAATGTTTTATTATTGGTTGTTTAACATCTACAAAGCTGCTGAATTTCTCTTTGTTTTCCTTTAGAAACTACAAGCCACAGTTTGACAAGCTGAAGATCTGGTATGAGCACCGTCTCATTGACGACATGGTGGCCCAGGTCCTGAAGTCCTCTGGAGGATTTGTTTGGGCTTGCAAGAATTATGATGGAGATGTGCAGTCAGACATTCTGGCTCAGGGTAAGTAGACTACGGTTAGATAATGAGTATGTTTGCAGAGCTCCCAATGTTGCAATATTTGGACGTGATGTTCATGTTTTCGTGATTTCATGCTGATGTGATTTCCTTCTAATGCCATGTTTCTGTTTGTACCAGGCTTTGGTTCTCTGGGTCTCATGACATCAGTGCTTGTGTGTCCCGACGGTAAAACCATCGAGGCTGAGGCCGCACATGGCACTGTCACCAGGCACTACCGTGAACACCAGATAGTAAGGGCCACTGAATCAATCTGAAAAGACTCAGAGCTTTGACTATATGTTAGGTTATGGGCTAAAGGGAGTTAAATGACCAACGCTAACATTGCTCTACAGGGAAAACCAACCAGTACCAACCCCATCGCAAGCATATTTGCTTGGACCAGAGGGCTGGAGCACAGAGGCAAACTGGATGAGAATCCTGATTTGATAAAGTACATATCTTATTAGTGTCATCTACTCATTTGACATATATTATATATTTATACAGTTTTATATCATTTTAACTGCTATTGCACTACAAATTCCAGGTTCTGCCAAACTTTGGAAAAAGTCTGTGTGGATACGGTGGAAAATGGTATAATGACCAAGGATCTTGCAGGTTGCATCCATGGCTTGGCCAAGTGAGATCACATTTTCATTTATAATTCATATTGTAGAATTTTTTTCTAATATTTAGACATAAATACACACTTTATGTCAACTAATCACTCTCTACCCTCTCCATTGTAGCTGCAAGCTAAATGAACACTATGTCAACACGACAGACTTCCTTGATGCCATAAAGACCAACCTCGATAAAGCTCTTGGCAACTGAATAACATTTAGAAGACAATATGAAGATTTTTGTTAATGTAGCAAAAAAACCAGGCAAAAACTGTTTCTAGATTTGTATAAAATAACATTTTACCCTCTTGTTTGTATGAATCTTTGTATCCAGTTTTGAAGCTGCTCCGCAATACATGCCTTTATTTAAAATTTGTATATTTGTTTTGTTTGCCTTTTCCTATTGCCACATTTGTACAAATTAGTAAATTTTATAATTAATTATTAATGGTAATATTCATTTATTATGGACAGTTTAAAGATGTTTCAGGCTTTCTCATTAAATTAGAGCATACCTTCAGGGAATAGCAAAATTTGGATATCATTATGTTAACGTCACATTGTACTTAATCAGCATGACTATAAAAAGAAATTGTCATTTAATTACACTTCGTGTGTGCGGAGTTGCCTTTTTCATGTTCATTTGTCAGGTCGGTGCTTTTATCCTGGGACAGAAAAAAAACCCTTTTTCGGCCCGGCTTTTCCGGATTCTTTTGGGGAAAAGCCACCACATGCATTTCTATTGCACATTTTAATTTCATGCACTTGCTCATGAGCTCCTGTCCAGCAGTGCATTCATGCGGTGCTGTATGCTCATTTTGTAGCCATCATATGCACCCCGCAGTGCATAATGCCGAGTAGTGTTGTACCAGCAGGGGGCCAAGCCTGATGGGAGTTTTGGCAAAGCTTTTAGCTGTGCTGGCAGCCACGGTGTATGACCAGCAGATGTCGACATGGTCACAGTCATCCAGTCGGTTGCTGTAACGTCTATGCATTATGTTGCTGCTTATTATGAATATTTCTTTAAGGAAAAGAAAACTGGGTTAACTGGTTCACTGTTCCAATCTTAAACTGATCCTTGGCTAAAGTGCACCTGCAGACTGCGTTTAGCGTTTGTTCCTGTTTGTAATACAGAATAATTGAGGTTTGCTGCAGTGGAAAATTCCATGTTCAATTTCATGTCAGGTAGACCGCCAATCACATTACCTGAATTAACCTCCCAGCCATGGTTGTCCTCCTTTGTGTTCACCATTGCTCTCTTTTCATCCTGTATAAGAATCTATATGTATCCCTAAGGAAGGAAATGATTTATCCCAGGCCTGGTTGTTCATCTAAAACTGCTAAATTTAAAGAAACATGAGCATTCAGACATATTCAAAAATATTTTTGGTATTTAAAGTGTTGTCAGACATTAACAGATCTAAACACTATTCAGAAAATATGGTAGATTCTTGCTCTTTCTACCCCAATTGTTACAAGGCAGAAAGAAAGAAAATGAACACAATTCTTGATTATTGACATTTAGATTAATCTCACTTCTCTTTAAAACTTCCCATTGAAAGTCTTAAAAAAAACCAAAAAACCCAAAACTTAACTTCATCGTCAGCAATAAAAGAGCTATATCTCTGAGCAAAATTGATCAACCTTGCTCTTATGGAAGTTTAAAGCACCCATGAAGCAGCTGACCAGTCCATAAGCTCTACTGGGAGTTAAAGACCTCAGGTTTAACCCAAAATGTGCTCTCTGGTTCCAAGCCAAAAGCATCCATGCAGCAGACCAAGAAAATTAAAATGCTCCATCAATATTCAAATGTGCTTGTTCTTCAGCAACAAATCACAGTAATATTGACCCAAAATGTATCGCGTACCAACTTTCGTGGCAATCCAACTAAATGTTGGAGATATAATGATAAAACAATGTCAAATTTGAGGTCGTACACAAAAAGTGGGTGTATCACTAAAAAATCATAAGGATTATCCCCCAGATAGTGATGGATTAAAACACCAGTCTTCATCACTTAAACTAGAGAACCTTTATTAAATAATTCATGGTCAATTTCCATGAGGTCTCAGTTTAATATTTCTCATCTCAAAAAAAGAACTAGTAGACCATTCCTCTGGCTTAGTGTGCATATCAAGGCTGACCTGCATGGCAGGACAGGGGGAGTTATCCATCTTCCCCTAAACAGAATTTCTGAGTGGCAGGACCAGTGTCAGTCTACTTTTAATTCAATCATTTCAAAATCTAAGCAAGCACGACTTCCAAATAATTTATTTTCATCTTTTAAATTCACAGGTTCGGTTTGTGTCATCTCTTGTTTTTCATGCTACTTTCCCCATGATGGGGAAAATATTTCTGAATAAATTGAATTAAAAGTAAAGTGGACCCAGCCCTGGATTTAAGAGTGCTGAAACTACAAACAACTAATAAAAACCCAAACTGCTGATTCTCTGCTCAAACTGCTCATTCTGCAACTCATTTTTGAACTGACAACCATGAAATATCCATTTTAGGTAAACAGCAGTTTAGAAAAAACAAAACAAGATTGAAAAAGCATAACTATGTTTAATAATATTGCCTTTATAAGGGGTCGGAAGATTTTATCTTCCATCCCCAGCTCTTCTTCCTTGAGGCAAATGAATTCACTCTTACTGAAGACCGCCTTCACAGAAAAAATGACAGGTTTTGATGAAAAAGTGCTTTTTGTTCTGTTCACTCGGTAATTCAAAACCTAGAGCAGTATATTCACTACACGGGATAGATTATTAATGCAAAGCTAAACCATGTGAAACAAAAAAAGATGGGTAAACACACTGCATGTTGCAGAATCATTTGTACAGTGAGAGGGCTTTACATGCCGGCAGTTTTGTTTTCTGGTTGTAGCCGACATGAGACAGTAGCAACTTTGGTAGTCGGTGCCCTACTAAGATTTTTTTTTTTTTTTTAAAGAAAACAAAAAAGGCTACAATGTCATGTGCAAAAAGTACAAATGCACTTAAAGATAGACCTGTCTGAACTTTCAAATGAGGAATAGGCAGGAACGGGCAACTACAATTAGGAGTTGTTAACTAAGAGCATTCAAACCTATGAATATGTTGTGACTATGTATCAAAACTTCGATATACAGTGAGTAAATAGCTGACACTGTGGAAGCTTAGTTGCAAAATGTCTATCTGGCACTTTCAGTCAAAAATATGAGGGTATACATTGGTTGTGAATGACAAAAATGGCAAACAAATTTCTATCACATTAAATGTAACCAATGGCTCTGCAACTGCAACTTTTTTCTTTTTTTTCCTCTTCAAATAACTGATACATACACACAACATACAGATTTCACTGTCCACCAGTGAGAGTCTGAGCCGGTAAGCGTAGTTATCCCAAAAGAAGAGCTTCACACCGTGTCAACTGTTTCAGTGTCTCGGTTATAAGCAACAGAGTTGAAACGTCTCCTTTGAAGCACTCCTCCTCCTCCCTGGCCTCCCATCATAGTCCGCCAAGTCTGGCGCTTCTGGAAGGAGGCCAAAACTAAATGAAAACCCCTTTTCCCAGAGTCTCCCAAAGTCTCAACAACAATTCTGTAATTTCCTTCTGCCTTCAGAAACAAAAAAAAGGAAAAAAGTTTTCTGGTCCATCGCCACTCAAGGTGTAGTGTAGCTGCTTGTATCCTTTCCAAAATTGTAATACTCCTCCATGTCCTCCATGTTTGCTGTAGTGAGTTTAGTGAGGTTTTGGGAGCCACCATTGTCCATACTGTCCGGTGCTGTAAAGGTGAAGTTCTGTCCTTCATATTCCCCCTGGCTGTCCATTTCTGGAAGAACTTCTGGAAAATACAAAAAGGCATTGACTGACATTGGCCTGGCAACATGGCATGACGCTCATCCAGCCAACTCCCATCTATTAGAAAAGTGAGGTTTTTAGCACTTCTGAGCTAATCCTGGACAATGTAATGATCTCAACCTTGCAAACGTATTGCATCAGTGAATTAATCTTATGTCTTAGACTCAAAACAAGCAGAAATGAGTCAAATAATACATGTCTACAGCAAAACGAAGAAAAACAAAATGGGTATAGTGTGAGTTTGAGCACTGGATTGGTATGGTGACACCAGTAATGCAGGAATGTTCCCGACTGTTATGGTAAACAGAGAGTTGGCCAAAAGTTAACTGTTTAGGCTGAACCGATCGGTCCATGTTCTAACCCTCTCCTATGGTCATGATCTGGCTGATGACCAAATAAAGTTGCAAATACATGCGGCTAAAACGAGCTTCCCTAACCTTAGAGACAGACTGTGGAGGAAGTATTAAATAAGCCACTGGAGGTTGCTTGGTCTCACCCAACTGGGAAGAGATCCCAGGGTAGACCCAGAACTCAGTGGAGAAATGATATACCTCATTTGGCTCGGGAACGACTCAGGACCCGCCAAGAGGAACTGGAAAGTGTTGCTAGGGAGGACATTTAAAATGCCTGCTTAACCTGCTGCCACCATGAGCTGACTTTGTATAAATGGAAGATTAATAGGTGGTTGGGCAGATGGATAGAAAAAGCTCACTTTCAGCTCCATATTTCTACTTCTTCTTTGCATTCATAGTTTAAAATAATCCTCATTTATCTTATACTGGGCTTTGGTGTCCCCCGCATTTGAAACAAGCTGTTTCAGATCTTCTTGCTTTTAGGCAACTTTCCTCTGACTTGTGGCCTGATGCAAACAGAAGGTCTGAACAGGAGGTGCCACAGCTGTGTGCCTGAGATGACCATTTTAGGGATATCTGCTCTCACTGACACAGATTCAAGAGTAGGAAAAAGACTGTTTGGAACAGCACTGGGAGCTGTGCGAAGCCTGAGCTTTGGCTCATATGGGATTACTTGTACATGCACTGATGTCATTAACTGAACGTTCTGCAAACATCTACTTTTGAAACAGTATAAAACACCTGGCTAATGTGCTTATCTGCATATGACAGAAAGTAAGGTTGATATTAATGTTAAAAAAAAAAGTGAGCCTAACCTTGTCCTTCTGGTGAGACATCCATGCCTTGTTTGACCTTCATGTGCCTGCTGAGGTTTCCTTTCAGGTTGAACTTACTGGTGCAGTAAGGACACTTGAAGGGCTTACTGCCAGCATGGAGATGCATGTGACCCAGAAGGTTATACATTCGGTTGAAAGACTTGCCACAAACCTGGAAATAAAGTATACAAAAAAAATAATTTAGGTGCACTGATATAAACAGAGAAAAAACTTATACCAGATGTGATAAAAGCATCCTGCCTGGCGATAGTGGCCTCTCGTGTCTGGGATTTTCTTCTCATTTAATTTTAGAAAACGTACTGATATCAGGTTATAAGACGCTTATGAGATGCTTTCTAGGAGCACTTTCTTCTCCCTCATAATCCTATTACGTTAAATTAAATCGATAGAAACTAAAAATGCATCATCACAACTAATTTCACGCCAGTTAATTAAACAGCCCTGCACACTCTGCTATCAGTCTGGAGTTAAAATACGCACCTTGCATTTGAATGGCTTCACAGGCAGGTGGACGATCATGTGGGTCTTGAGGGTCTGTTTCTGGATGAAGCTCTTGAAGCAAACGTGACACTGGAAGGGCCTGACGCTGTTGTGGATGAGCATATGCCTCTTCAGGTTGGCAGACAGGGTGAACTCTCGGGAACACACGTCACACTTGTGGCCTTTCATCCCCTGCAGAGTGCAAAGAGAAGACAAAGGTCCATCAGTCAAATACAGCAATAGCTGTTCTGTTTGCTTCCAAGAGTGTGAGACGTTGGCAGATATACTGATTAATTTGAACGTGTGGGGTCTAAAAGCTCACTGCTTTTCCAAGTCATAACACACCCAAACCTGAGCACGCAGACACATATTTTTAGATTCAGTGTGAGTTTCACATTCCAGGCTATCTTTAAATCTGCATTGTGACTAAATTTCCTTACATTTTTTACCAAAGGAAAGAAAAATTACTGAGCAGTCAGCATATTTTTTTAACACTTTTAATATCAGGTTAATTTGGCTGAGCGAGAACCTGTTATGCTCCTATGCTATTCCAGCCTAATAATGTTATTCTTGGACTATAATAAAATAGCTTTGTATGTGTCGTAATACAAAACTATTTAAATTTATCTCACGCTGGACTTTGGTGCTGACAGCCAGCGTCTGAAACAAGCCGCTTCTTCCGATTTGCTGGCCCTTGTAAACAGAAGGGTAACAGAGCAGGTGGGCGGGGCTTTGGTGCTCACAGACAGAGCTGTGTGCTTAAGATGACCTAAGTAAAGACATCGGCTCTCACTGATACAGATCCAAGAGTATCTGTCTGAAACAACAACTAAATTATACAACTTTACCTACAAAAACAACAGCAAGAGTATAACATGCATGTAAAACAGGGTGGCCAAAGAGTCACCATCCTGCATACAATGTCAGGGCAATATTTTAATCCTGCCTGCAAGTTATTGCTCATTCCTCCAACCGTATCAAAATCTATGGCAGCCATTTTAGGTGTACCAAAGGAGATCACTAGAATACAGGAAAAAGGCCCTTTGAATCATCTTTATTCAGCTGCTGTAACGTTCTCAAACACATGCAGTGGGTCACAGGAGCAGACAACTGTCATCTAAGGCCTTGAGGCCTGTCTCAATGAATGTGCTGCTGCCTCCTGCACTCCACTCTGCAGTCAGTGTCAGTAGACAAAAACCTGCAACTGAATGAGCGGATTGAAGGCTATTGCGAGGAACAAATATGTATTACGGGACACTAGTGGGTCGAGAGACAGTGTTTGTATAAGCAGACAAATCTGGCAGACTGTCCGTCCGCCCACTGTCTGCACGGCAAATGGGTTGAGCTGACGTTGTCCACCAGGGGGAGCAGTGAACAGACAACCAGCTCAAACAAGCCACAAAAGAGAATATTCTCTCTCCACTGAGAACATTCACTGCTCTCATCACTTTCAGTTTGATGATGAACGTGGCTTTGGATTTTTGTTGCCCCAGTAGAAAGCACATTTGAGCCCGTCCCTAGCAACACAGCATTTTCATTTGTCACCGTGTGGGATTTCTATCTGTCAGCTATCTTCTATTCCTTCACCCACTAGGCATGACTAAAAGTTGGGGCGGGAAAAAAAAAAGTCTCATTCAAAAGGAACTGATTTTAGAATAACCAAGAATGATCACAAATACAAGCACAAGGTAATCCGACGCACCTTCATCTCTCTCTTCCCCACCTGTGTGAAAGTGTGGGAAACAGCAAGGGTTGAAAAAGCGTGACAAGGAGATTGAAGGTCTTTCTAAAAAATGCAACATTTGCCAGATAATTCTACTATGCTTCTAATTTCCTTTGATTTTTCACCATTTTGATTAAGTGCTGTGTTTCTAACTGCTGATGAAGCCTTTGCAAAGATTTTCCAGCATTTGCACAGGGAAAATGGCATCAACAAAAACATATTTCACATGAGAATTGATACTATTTGTTTAACAACTCAGACTTGGTTTTGTTGCCATTAAAAAAAAATTATTTAATCCTAGAAACTCAAATTTCTTCTTGTTTCTATGACCCACCTGGAGTTTATTCTATTCACTGGGCAATTAACAACTTAAAGTGACTCAATATAAAAAAGAAAAATACATTTCCTCATCGTGACTTGTTGGCACTACATTATTAAAAATTTCAAATGAATGAAAAAAAAAAAAAAGCCACACAGAAAAGTCTAGCATTACCATGTTGATGGAATAGTTTCTTTTTTCCCATCCATCCATCTTTTTTCTTGCACTTATCCAATTCGTGGTTGCAGGTGGGGGCTCGAGCCTCTACCAGCTGTTATTTTTTGTAAGCATACTAAATCCAGGTGCTAAATTCCTTATATTAGACTGATACGTTGATTCTATTTTGACCTTAAAATCATGTGTTTTTGTAACAAGATGAATCTGACAAAGACAACAAAGGATGCCAGATAGGTGGATGCTCGTATCTGTTAACTACACCCAAGGCTTAAGGTGAATTATATATGAACTGCAGATGCAAATTATCTTTTTTATGTTAGTTTGTGTTGACTCTCTATTAAAAAAAAGAGAATCAAAGCATTCAATATTTTTGTACAAGCCAAAGGAAAAAAAAACCTCTCTGCTGAATACTGATCTACAGGTAACATTTACAGCATGTGTGCAACTTGAGCAGTCAGATACCTTATGGGTGAGCGAGTGCTGACGTAGGTGGTGGAGTTGCACAAACTCCAGGCCGCACTGGGAGCAGGTGTAAGGCCTCGGGCTCTGGTGCTTCAGGAGGTGGTTCTGGAGCTGGCTACGGTAGGCGAAAGACTTATTACACTCGGTGCACTGGAAGGTGTGGGGGCCCTGGTGGCTGGTCTGGTGGCGTTTGAGGTGAGCATAGGTGGGGAACTCCATGCCACATTGCGAGCACACATGGCAGCGGCCTCGTTCGTGCTTCACCTCGTGCGCTCGCAGTTCGCTGGGATAGGCGAAGCCACGGCGGCAGAAGCGGCAGCTGTAGGGCTTTACATCGGTGTGTTGCAGCATGTGTCGCTTCAGGTGACTGGTCTGGGTGAAGCCCTTCTTGCAGACTGTGCACTTGTGAGGCCGCGTACCTTGGTGGGTTAGCAGATGGGTTTGGAGGTGACTGGGCTGCTTGAAAAGCTTTCCGCAATGTGGACAAGCATGCGGTTTGATGCCGTTGTGGCCCAGGATGTGTGTGACCAGGTTATACTTAGAGGTGTAGGATTTATCACACATGCGACATTTCCAGCGTTTCAAACCGTCTCCCACGTCTACGCAGTAGGATTCATCAATCTGGATGTTGATATCTAGCCGGTCTACTCTACGGCCACCGTGTCTACGTGGAGGCTGGGGGTGTGGAGGCTGGGGATGCTGCCCTGTCGCACTCCCGTCTGTCCACATCATACTCTGGCTGCTGTCTTCATACTCGCCCCCCATTCCCATCTCTGTAGAATCGTAGCTTCCCACTTCACTGGTCTGGAAGTAGCTGCTGATAGCTTCCTCCTGCTGTGTGGGTTTCATCATTGTGTTCCCCTGGTGTTCTACCTCTTCTTCATCCTCTCTACCACCTCGACCGTGGCCCCCCATCGGGCGCTGGCCCTGCAGTCCTCTGTGGCCCTGCTCCGGTCCCCTGTGGGCCACCTGGGGAGGAGGGGGGTGGACATGTGTGTTGGCTTGCTGCTGGTTTGTAGCATCCCGCTCACATTCTGCACAGTTCTTGTTGGTGCCTCTCAGGGTGGCCGGATCTACTTGAACCAGACCACCTCTGGGAGCCATATTGTTCAGCATGTGGACACAGGAGGACATTCCAGAGTTCATCCCTTCCCCTTTCACGTGGGAAGAGGACATGTCACCTGCTTGAAGGCCATGACGATCGGGGACCACCATTTTCCCATCTGGATGCTGAGGCGGCCCCTGCTGCCACCGCCGCTGGCTGCAGCTTGGTTGCATCTGACCGTCTTCTCCCAAGTTTTCTCCAAGATAATCTCCGTTGGCGCCGATAAGTTGGTCTGCGTACTCGTAGTCAACTCCGTCTACTGGGGGTGCAGGGGACTCTTTTGGTTCACCAGTGTAGAAGCCGTTTGGTGCAATGGTAGCTCCGAATACTTCATTCTGGGAGATGAGACCTAGCACGGCGGCCTGGGCCAAGGACAGCACAACTACTGGATCTGTCTGTGTGCCTATGTCCACCAGCCTGGCCATTACCTTGGGCTCACATCTACCCAGGCGCCGGCTCGCCTCCTCCTGGAACAGGAAAGAGACAAACCGTTTGTAAAGAGATCAGCATTTTAATGTTTTTTATTGCCAAGTGTTATAGAGGGGAACAAAAATCAAGCTCAGTGTAAATTTTTATAAAGGCAGGAAGTTGTGTTTTCAATGTGAACTACTGTGCACCATCCTCCACTCCATTAAAAATGAGCTACTGAAGAAAAAAAGGTGGTGAGACTCATCTGATCAGATTCTTTGAGCTAGTTGCTGACAGAGAGGGGGAAAAGTAAGAACAATTTTGATTTTCAGGAGCTGTTTATTACATCACTAGAAAGGATGCGCAAAAGCAGACAACATTTCCTCCCACTGAGGCAAATCTATCCCCAAATCACTCTTCCTAGTACAAATAGTCAACCTGAATGAACAGTGTCAAAAACAAACCTTCAGATCTGGAGAGACAGGAACTATGAAAGACAGCATCCTAATCCAACGTGCTAACCATGCATGATGTGTGTGTGTGTGTGTGTGTGTGTGAGTGAGTGGTGGTGGATTAGATGGCCTACTGATCTCCACACAAACACACATTCAAGTGCAAGAAAGAAAAAAGAAAAGAAAAGAATGAAAACTGAGCAAGATTAAGAAATGAAAAAAAAAAAGAATAGAAAAGCACGAGATAAGACAAAAACACTGGAGAGCAGAGTGAGAACAGAAGCAGAGACAGAGATGGAGGGAGGGAGGGAGAGAAGCAGGAAAAAGAGTGAGCGAGTGAGAGCTTAGAGCATGCAAGAGTCTAGTGAAAGGGAGGAGGGAGAGGAAAAAAAGAAAAAAAGGAGAAAATGTAAGGTAAAGGGAGAGTGAAGGAGAGATAAGGAGAAGGAGGGGGTGGGCAGGAGGGAAGGAGGAAGGCTGAGAGAGAGATACACATATAAGAGAGGGAGGGGGAGGAGGAGAGGGCTGAGTGAAAGAGTGAGAGGGTGAGTGTGAGGCAGCAGGCAAAAGAGAGCAAGAGGAAGAAAGAAAAAGAAAGACATGTAGAGACAGAGGGAAAGGGAGGGAGGGAGAGGCAGTGAGCAACCAGGAGACAGAAGGAGAAAGGAAAATGCCAAAATGAAAGCCAGACACTCAATGAAAGATAAAAACAAAAAGTGAAGAAGACAAAAAGATGACACCGAAGAAGAGTTTGGGAAAAAGATTTTTTTTTTTTAAAAGCTCATAGAGAGATTGCGATAAGTTAATGCAAGTGGCAGCTCTTCATTTAGAATAAAAAAAGACTCCACAGAAAGCAACTTTACAAACAAAAGAAAACCAGATACAATCAAAGCATCTCTGATGGCAGTTTTCTATCTGTATCATTTCAGCTTTGCCGGGATCAAACCCATGTTGCCCACCACCTCAGCAAACTACCACTTAACATGCTACGAGCGAGAGCCAGTGAACTCACCACGCTCCTCCTGCTGTGAGGTTTCAGGTGCTTCAAGGATCTCATTCTTCAGTGCGAGTGTTGAGTGAGAATAGACTATGTTTGCCTCCTATTTATACGTGAGGGATGTGAGGAGGCGGGGCTAACGCTACCCTCCGCCTCCTTCTCTTTAGTCTTCAGCACAGTTTCGGTAGAGAGTCTGGTCGCACCAGCGCAAACACAGAGCAGACACTAAACAAACCAAATATCCTTGCAGCCAAATGAGCACGTGTGGCCAGTAGGTTTAAAAACACACGCATACACAGGCGCAGCACTGATGCACAAGGTTCCTTGACAGTCCAGTAATCAATAGGTTAAGTCACATCAAAGTCAAAAGACGCACACACCAACAACAAAAACAAGATCAGCATCATATCCGTCTGAAATTATGGCTCCACCAAAGCAACTCGCCCTCCTTTCTTCTTTCTTTGTGTGTCATTCTTCATCTTTGTTTCTGCACATCCCTGTCTGTCTCTTTTCCTGTATCTGCAGCTGAGTTCTTCTCTGTGTTTCATCCATGCATCCCTGCGCCTTCCCCTCTGTATCTTTTCACTCTCTCATTGATCAAGTGAGGTTTACGAGTATGGGAAAGTGTTGGAAGATTGTTTCGTGCACAGTCTCGGATGCGAGCGTGTTACATGAGAGAGGAGAAAGAAGAGAGACGGTGAGAGAAAGAAAGAGATGGAAGGTGACTGACAAGGAGATGAGCAAATGGATGGGGGGGCAGGAGGAGAGACTGAAACGAAAGAATACTCAAGGAAAAGAGAGGGGAGGGGGGAGACAGAAAGAGAGAGAGAAAAAGAAAGGAGACGGGGGGATGGGAGCAGAATGCGGTAAAAGAAAAAGAAGCAATGAAAAGTAAAAGAATAGCACGGAGATATTATTCTGCTTGAAATGATGCATCAAACAGTCCCATGGATCACACGCACATGCATACACACACACACACACAAAATGAGCTGCTGATTGACGCCTGAGGAAACGTCAAAGTTCAAGTGTGAAGAACTTTCATCTCTTTTCACGTCATCTGACGACCACGGCACCTTCAGTGAAATGGGATGCGTGGAGAGATCAGATAGATGTTGAGCGGCGAGACGGTGGCCTCACGGTCCACAATGGTCATGCATATCCTGCCAATGATGAAAGCGAGACAACGCGAAAGCTGCAAATTATGGAGCGAAATGAGAAAAAGGGCGACAGACATATAAAAACCTACATTCAGCATAGTGTCTTGTATGCACTTTGCAGGAAATACTTTGTACTGGTGTATTAGTCCACAAAGACTGAGGACTCAAAAAACTATTAGTGTTATTATCAACCAATCTGTTATTTTACTGATTCACATAAATAGTGGGCCTAAGGTACCAACCTCGCTGTTTTTGTCAATCAAACTCTGATCACAGACACAAACGGGTCTGTCAATCACTTAATCATTTTTCCAAGAATTTATTTAAATTTTAAAATATGCAAAAATCTCATGAGTGTGTCAGTGGATGCTGCCAAAAATAAATCAACAGATGACTGTAATTGTAGACACTGGAAGACATTATTAATGAGTGTTTGAGCCAAAGCAGTGTTTGCTCTAAAACATACTGTGGGTACACAACATTCATTTCCATAAAAAGTGACAATCTTTCCTTCAATCAGATCAATCGCACATCACCCCCCTGTCGCAGAACACGTCTACAGAGACTGAGTTCACTCCAAGTACAGCTACTGTGTTTTTTATGAAAACCTAAAGTGTTACCCCTTTTCATGCCTGTAGTTTAGCTTTGATAGAAATTCTGATGCCTGACCAATACTAGATTTTTTGGTTCAGATAATTATTGAACTATCCACCAATGCTATTTACAGCACAGATCCATCCTGCCCTGCATCAACAGTTCAGGCCAGGTGACGTGAAGGTGTGGGGGATATTTTTTGATACACTTTGGGCCCTTTATTACCAACGATCATCATTTAAACAGTATTAAAGAGTACTGTTACCATGCCCATCCCTTTGTGACCACCACACATCTTCTGATGGCTGTTTCCAGCAGGATAACATGACGTGTCACAAAGCTCAAATCATCTCAAAATATCTCAAACTTGTTTCTTGAATATGAGAATAAGTTCACTGTACTTAAACGGTCTCCACAGTTACCAGATCTCAATCCAACAGAGCACCTTTGGTATGTGGTGGAATGGGAGATTGCTGTCACGTATGTGCAGCAGACAAATCTGCAGCAATTAACACCATGATGTCAGTTTGGACCAAAACCTCTGAGGAATGTTTACAGCACCATGTTGAATTATAGCAGTTCTGACGGTAAAACCTGGTACTATCAAGCTGTACCTAATGAAGTGTCTGGCTAGTGTATATACTGCATAATAGGCCAATATCAGCTGATAATGTCAGGGGACCAAAATATCAGTCAGGATCTAATGAAGACGCAAATATGCAAAGTTGAGAAAAAAAACATATTAGGTTTGATTAATTTATTAACTGATTAGGCAATCAAGACAATATTAATCAGAAACAAGACTACATCCAAAATGTTCCTGATAAAAATCAGCATATTTTGGTTCTCTGCAAAATGTCACCTTGGACTCTAAAGGAACTGGGAACAAATCTTCCCACAATTTTCTGTAAATTAACAAATTTAACACTTCTGTGATTACTCAAGAACATAAAAGGTCCACAAGAAATAGTTACAGACGATCCATCATTTCCCATATTTTTGTTTCCCTTATCCCTTGTTTAAGTAAACTGCAAAAGGTATATTGTGTGGATATGCTTCAAGTATGTCTTTTTTATATGCTACCATAATAAGCTGATTTCATATTATTCATTCCCTGCCTTAAGTTCAATTTATGTTTTAGAATAATCTTCAATGAGCAAGTATTATGGTGCCTCTACTTTGAGCCTCACTGATTTTCATGCTTTTATTTACCAAATAAAACTTTCCAAAAATAGTTAACTTTCCCTTTGGTCACGCTACAGCACACTTCCTGTCAGTCACGCAAGTCAAGCAGAGAGGATCATGGCATATAGTCTAGTCTTTATGTAACATTTTGCATACTTTTTCCACAGTAAGAATTAATGCAAGATTGTGTTGCTCATTTAAACTTAAACAAAACCATCAGTTACTTTAAAATTACTTGACTTTGGCTTTACATATGCAAAGAAAAGTATTAGCGATACATATTTGTCTATGAAGAACAAACTAAATGGATGATTTCTGAATGCAGTTTTACAAAATGCAGAGGGGTGTGACTTCTGCTTCAGCTAGAACTCCTACTCTCTTGGGCCCTGTTCACAGTTCAAGCATTTAAAAGCAAGATGGTCAGAGGCAGGGAGACATGCTTAAGGAGAAATTGTGACCTGAAATAATAAGAAACCAAACCGTGAAGCCAAATAAACTTACAAATGAAAAAGGATGCAGTACATATACAACACAAAGGTATGTAGATTTGGAAATGCCAAAACACTTGGGAAAGAGTTGCAGAGTCTGCATCTTCCAACCTCTTGTGCAAGCTGTATTCTCAAGAACGAATGAACACTTTTTTTTCCTGTTCAGCAACAGTCGCAGCTTCCTAAAGATAAAATCAAACGGCAGCAGGAAGTGAAATTTGACCAAACGTGGCTTCTCCCATGTATCCTGCCAGGTGTCTGTCTCAAATGCATCCAGACTTGATGTGGATCTGGCTATATTCACATAAAAGACACAAAGGTGGGACAGAGCCAAACATGGACTGGACAGATCTCCCTGCCTTTGACCTACAGAGCCTGTCAGAGAGCCACTGAAGAGCCATGGTTATATTTGCTAGCAGTGATCTCAACTCCACATTGCTGCTGCAAATCTGTGGATCCACAAGTTTGCATTTTAAGAATTTTAATGCATCTTACCTGCGATGATATGATACTTTGGCAAATGTACTTATAACAGTGCTGTCAAATCAGTTAATACTGGTAGCTACACTAGCTACAGCTGTGTTCTTACTAAAGCAATGTGTATTTAAACCAATACCTTTCCTACCGTAAAAACGAATAGTGATTTTCATTAATTTTTTGACAATCTCATTAATTTAAAAAAACAAACAAAACAAAAACAGAGAGAGAGAACCAAAGATCCAGTAAGAAGGAAACTGATATAATAATAATAATGTGTATGTGTTAGCCCCCATAGGGAAATAGTTCCTCTGCATTTAACCCATTCACCCAGTGAAGCAGTTGTTGACCGATTTGAGCCACGAGCTGTAAAGTCATAGCAGATTTTAAAACTTAAATTAACATGCTCATCATCTGACTCCAACAACCTTAATAACTATAGGGCCATTTCCAGCCTTTCATCCATTTCCTGAGTTTTGGAAAGCATAGAGGCATCACATCTTCAGACCCACCCAAGCCATTTCAATTCCATTCTAGACATATTTGGAGCAGCTTGTTAAAATCACCACTGATCTCCTCACACTAGAAACCTGCTTTCTTAATACCCTCCTCCTCTTTGACCTCAGTGCCACTTTTTACATTCCGCATTCCAATATTGGCCAACAACTGGTCAATATTGGAATCAAGGAGACTTTCTGACATAAATGATTTTTTCAAGGCAAGACTTACAAAAACAAATAAGGCTTTTCATCAGCCTCTGTCACACATGGTATCCCTCAGGTATCTTTCTGTGCAAATTATGAATTTATCTTCTTTATCTTGAAAATATTTTTCCCCCATCTCACAAAACAGTTTAATTTTTATGCTGACGACAAACGGCTTTGTATTTCTGCAAAACCCAACACCTCTCTTCCCCCTTCTATCCTCGCCATGACCTACAGGTCATCACCACTGGGAAAATAATCAATCAGCTCAAACTAGACATCAGTAAACGTGAAATGATCCTAAATCAAAAGTCTATTTTTTGTTGTTTCTATAGGTGGTTCTTAAGTCCACACTTTTGCAAAAAGTGTCAAAAGTCTTGGAATAATCTTGGGCAATACTCTTCCTCTCAGGTTCAGCCTTTTCCCTCTCCAATAATGTCTCAGGTTCAGCCTTTTCCCTCTCCAATAATGTCTCAGGTTCAGCCTTCTTCCACCTATGTAACATTTCGAAACTACACTTGTTTCTTTCTCAACTCAGCACACAAGTTCTGGTTCACGCCCTGGTCACCTTTCATTTGGATTATTCCCTCTATGCCATTCTCTCTGGGCTCCCCAAAGAATTGCTTAATTGGTTCCAAATGGTACATAACTCTGCAGCAAGAATCATCAACTGCACCAAGTCCACCGATCACATTACACATAATCTCACCCAGCTTCATTGGCTCCCCATTCGCCAATGCATCCAATACAGATTCTTCTCCTC